GAGGAATGTCATTCCATGCTTTAGTACAAACATAGAAGAAAGACCTCTGGCCGTAACAGTTTTTAAAAGTTGGTAATGTCAGGTATTATATTCTTACATTTGGCCGCAGCCCTCAGATAGATTTTCATTTTGGGGAAAAGCTTTGTGCAGCCTTGATATATGTATATAAACTGAAACAGCTGGACTAGTGCATCCTAAATTTAACATCCATTAATAGACTAGAACAGAAACAGCCTTTATTGTCGTGCGCGGGGAAGTTCAGGTGTAGTAGCAGCAGATTCATACATTAATCCACAGAAACAGTGTATTACTGTGTGACAACATCAACTGTAGCAATAATTATAATAGAATTAAAGATGGTAACAATACAAAACAGACAGATCAAAATAAAAACATGAATAATAATTACTGTACCGGACTATCAAGGTGAAATTAGATAATAATGAAAAATAAAAGCAAGCTACTGTGCAGAAAGATACGAAATTACAGGAAATGAGTCATGACAGACTCATGATCCGGGGAGTAGAGGTGCAAATTGATTTATATTCAGTCATTAAGTCCAGTATAGGAAAAGACAATGAATAATTCTTATTATCATTGTTGTTTATTATTTATATAATGATTGTGAGGTGGAGTTGTTCGGTGTACAAAAACAAACATGGATGCATATCGAGATTGTTGGGAGCTGTTGTGGCTATAGAGTCTAACAGCTGATGGGAGGAAGGATCTGTGGTAGCGCTCCTTTGTGCATTTAGGATGCAGCAGGCTGTCACTGAAGGAACTCTGCAGATCAGCTACAGTTTCATGCAGTTCCACAGTCAGAGTTCTTCTGAGAAGAGTGTCCATGTTGTGAGTCCAGTCCAGTTTATTGTTCAGGTGAACATCCAGGTAATTGTAAGAGTCCACTGTCTCAATGTCCACTCCATGGATGTTCACCGGTGTCAGTGAGGTGGGTCTGTGTCTGTGGAAATCCACCACCAGCTCCTTGGTTTTAGGAGCGTTGATCAGGAGGTGGTTCTGCTGGCACCAGTCCAAGTCCTGAGTCCACCGTCTGTCCTCTGAGTCCACCGTCTGTCCTCTGTGTCCACTGTCTGTACTCTGAGTCACTGTCTGTCCTCTGAGTCCACCGTCTGTCCTCTGAGTCCACTTTCTGTCCTCTGAGTCCACCATCTGTCC